CTTGCCCACCCCCAGGGCCTGAAATGTCTGTTTTCTCAGGTGAGAACTCCCTCCGACACTCTGAGCTCTGAAGAATCCACCATGTGTCCAGGGTGGGCAGGGTTCAGAAAGCCTGTTTCGGGTGAATGGAGTAAGGGAGAGCAGGGGAAGGGAAGCTTAGAGGTGCAGCAGTAGCTGGAGGAGGGGGGAGGCGGCAGAATTGCTGTTCTAAGGTAGGAGACACACGAGCGCACGTATTTGCTGAGGAATAGCCAGTAAGAGGATGAGAAGTGAAAGGTATAGGAATCAGGGACAACTGCAGAAGATCTGGAAGGGCAGGACCGTTGGGGTCCTGAGCATGGAAGGTGGGGTTGGGAGAAAGGCAAGGAGGTGAGCTGTGGGTCCACTAGGTGTGTGGGTGGCTGGCAGTCAGACAGCAAAGAAGGGGCAGAGCTGTTTGCTGGGGTAGAGATTTCAGCAGCAGGAAGCACGGTGATGTCTGGAATCTTCTGAGGGCCCCAAGGAGGCTGGCCAGGCATTCAGAGTGGGTCCTGGTCAGCCAGAAGGGATCAGGGGCCCACACAGGGACAGGCCCTGTGTGGTGGCACACAGGAAGGGAGTTACGGTGGAGCGAGGAGCCAGGGCATGAAGGCAGCAAGGCAAAAGGACCGGGACAGAATTAACTGGTTGCTCTTGGGCCTGCACCGAGCGGGGGGAGGGGGTGGGGCCGTGACACCCCACTAAGGTGCAGCCCTTGGCCCCGCCCCAGCAGCACGGAACACGACGGAAAACAAGGAGGACTTGGGGAGCGCTATGGGGTGCCTGCACGTGCCGTGGCTCTTACCCCCGTGTGCAAAGACCTGAAGCCTCTGAAGGCCACCTTCTCCTAAGGCTCCTGCACTTGGACTTGAGTAGCCAGCTTTTCCTTGCGGGTCGGAACCTGGCAGATCCGCAGCCTGCTCAAGCCGGTTTCATCGGCCCCTCTACTCTGGAGGCCGCAGTTAAATCGGCTATTTAATAAACATTTGCGGGTGGTGAAGGAGGCGGATCCTGGAGCGTGCACACATCAGCTTTCAGTGGAGTGAAAGCAGCCCTCAGCCTCTGTCCTCCTCCTAAAAGGGCTCCTGGGAGTGGCTGCAGAGGTTTACTCAGAACACACACTGGAGACCCTGCACAGAAGCTGGAAGGGCAAGTCCCCGCCCCCGCCATCCCCTTGTCCCCAGCTCCCTAGAGCTACCTGAGAGGGGCCAGAGTCCCAAGACAGACTCCCCTCCAAGGGAAAGTCTTCCCATTGGCCCCATTTCAAATGGTTTGCTCTTGTATTTACTTTCATTTGTCCGGGTTGAGCTCAACTGTGCCTTAAATTTACAGTGCATCCCTGAAGTCTTGGTCAACGAGGTCGGGGGCGGGGGGGGGGATGTGCCTCGCACAAATGTTGGTGGAAGTTCTCGCTTTGTGCTTAATCAGTCAGTAGACGAATGTGACAGAATGTACAACAGTACGCCCTCCTTCCTGGGGTCAGTCTGGGCACTGAGCCCAGTGGGACAGCCACCAGTGAGGGCAGAACAGGCCGCCAGCAAGCTCCTCCAACATCGCCACCACAGGGAGCATGGGGCAGGGGCGGGGGGTGGCCGGCTGAAGACTACAGTGAATACAGTGAGGCTGTAAGGAAGAATTAGAAGCTCTTTCTGATCCAATTTGGAATGACTGCCAACATATATACCTTGAAGTGAAAAGAAGGGCGGAGAGAATATGCACAGAAGTCCCAATGAGAAACGGAGGCAGCCTAGGTGGCTGATGGGGGGAGGGGCACATTTTCAAATAGGTGTTCCTGGTGCGTTTTGAATTTTGTTCTATTTGAATGCTTTATCTATTTAGAAAAGTAAGATAAAATTTCTAAATAAATAGATAATACCCATCCCACTTTCTTAGCAAAGCTTGTGGCAGGCATTATCACCCTAGTTGATGTGTCTGTTTGAAAGTGAGGTGAGGGGGCCCCTGGATGGCTCAGTTGGTTAAGCATCTGCCTTCAGCTCGGGTCATGATCCCAGGGTCCTGGGATCAGGGCCTGTGTCCGCTTCTCCGCTCAGCGGCGAGTCTGCTTCTCTCTCTCACTCTAGCTCTCTCTCTCAGATAAATAAACAAAATCTTAAAAAAAAAGAAAAGTGAGGAGAGGCTGTTCCATTATATTCACTGCTGGCATTTAAGGAACACTTAGTAAGGGCTCTGGAGTTACAAAGACACCCTGTAAAAGACACAGATTCCTGAAATCAATTTGACTCAATTAACAGATGAACGACATCATAAATTTAGGATATGTTGAAGGTAGTCTCAAATCTGCTGGGAAAGGTGGATTACGAAGAAAGAAAGAAAGTTGGTGTTGGCCCCACTGGCTCTTCAGAGGTGGAAAATAATCAAGTTAGATCCCTGTCTCTTATCTTTGAAGAAGAGATTCCCAGATGGGATTAAGAACCAAGAGTAACAAAGTTAATATACGTACTGAGATAAAGAGAACATTCTATTTTTGTGATCTTGGGGTGGGGAAGGCTTTTCTTTTTCAAGATAGATTCAATAAGAATCAACTCTCTACACCAGCCACAAAACTTTTCTGTAAAGCTAAATCTATTCTAAAACAAAATTTCAAAAAACCCAAAACCTCAGTTCGCCGGAAGATATCATGCACAAACATTTAAAAAGAACGACGTGCAAAAAAAAGAGAAAAAAACGATATATAGACTTAGAAGAAAATACAGTGCTGAAACATATATAATAAGCAATTTATCAATACGTTAAGATTAACTGCCCCATAGAAAAATGGGCGAGAAGCATCAAGATATAATTTACAATAAGAGAAACACAAAAGGCCAATAAACATATGAAAAGATTCTCAATTTCACTGCCAGTCAGAGAAATAAAAATCAGAACCACAGCATCACACTTTTTACTTACCAGATTGACTAAAGCTTAAAAACAAAACTGAGAATATACAGTGGAAAAACAGATATTTTCATGTCCATTGGGGGTATAATTAATTGATACAGCTTTTGTTGGAGGCCAAATTTTAAATGTATATACCTTAGGACTGCAATTTCACTTCAAAGAGTTTATCCTATAGAAATATTTACATAGATGTGCAAAGGCTGTACCCTGGTTGTGTGTACACCAGGGAACACTACACAGCTATGAAAATGGATGAGGTTCATCATACACATACGTGTGTATATATACATACATGAAGTGAGACAAACTGGAGCACCTGGCTGGCTCAGTCGGTAGAGCATGCAACTCTTAATCTCAGGGTCGTGAGCTCAAGCCCCACCGTTAGGCATGGAGCCTACTTTAAAAAAAAGGAAGGAAGGAAGGAAGGAGGGAGGGAGAGAAGGGAGGGAGGGAGGGAGGAAGGGAGGAAGGAAGGAAGGAAGGAAGGAAGGAAGGAAAACAAGTACCAATAATGGGGCCTGTTGGGAGCAAATGGGAAATTGGGGCTGGACAACACGGGCCCTGGAGGTTTGGACTTGGTGTGCAAGGTAAGGCAAAGACAAGATAATCCCATGTATCCACAGAGCGGACAGACTCAGAGGGAGGAGGAGATGGACCATCCATCCAGATGAGAGACAGGACATGAAAGCAGAAGCAGGTGGGACAGGGGTGGCTGAGACCCAGACAGGTACCTGTTTTCACAGAGCTGACATGGACAGGCAACCACAAACAAGGACTTGGGATTTGGAAGTCAGAACGGACAGGATGTAGGATGAACAGGCGTAATGGGCTGGGGATGGGAGAGACCTCTAAGACTACAATTTCTGACTCTGTGACACAGACTAGCTCTTTGGGGCTGAGCAGGGAGCCTGGAGGCAGAGGTCAGCCTCTTCATATCATATGGAAAGAAGTCCAATACATCTGGGCTTAATGCAGATGGTTCCCACTGAGGCCCTGCTTTAGCGTTCACACTTAAAGCCCTCAGACAGAGCTTCTAGAAGCCCAGTTCTTTCAAATAGAGAGCAATAACTCTCCTTCTAGGACTGTGGAGAGGCCTTCTCTCTTTATTCACAGACAAGAGCTGAAGCTGAACTCAGGATGACTGCACCAGCTGGGCCCTGGGATATGGGTCTGCATGGAATGCCAAGCCTGCTTCCAGAAGCTGCCCCTGCGGAGGGAGTTGCAGGGGAATGGCCCCAGTGGAGGGTTACTGCGGAGATGCCTGTGAAGGCTGGGGGTCTTCCTGAAGGGCCCCAGGACAGGCCTGGTTGGAAGGGTGGGGAGGGCCATCACTCTAGATGGGAGGAGAGGACAGATGAGGAATGGTCTGTGCCGGGAAGGCAAGGAATTCCCTATGGCTGTGGCCTAAAGTGGGGGAAGGAAGGAGGAGAGGAGAGACTGGGTGGGGCCAGGTCCTGTGACTGGGTCTCATCTCCCAGTGGGCTGAGTTTGGTCACCTCGTTCATTCATTCGAAAAGAATTAACAGTGCCAACAGCGTATCAGGCACTGTTCTAGATGCTGAGGGATATGGCAGTGACTCTACTGAGGGACCTGCTCTCCTGGAAGGAACATGGAGGAGAGGCACCAAAAATAAGGAAACAACAGTAAGATAAATTTCTGGCAGACAGCCACGCTGTGCAGAAAATAAAGCAGAATGATGAGTTTGGGAGAGAGGTCCGGGAGGAGTGATTAGGGGACATAATGCCACTGAGGTCTGAGTGACAAGAAGGAACCCGCTACCAAGGACTGGGAAGCAGCAGGTGTTGGGGGGGGGCGGGGCGGTGCTGCAGTCGGAAGCTAATTGTATAAGGCAATTGTTTTGCTAATAAGACCATGTTAAGAAAATTAGGCTTTTTTCCTTTCGGAATGAACTCATTAGTGAGCTGTATTTTTAGTTCTTTCTCCTGGGTTTTAGAGATCGGGCAGGAGGGGGAGGTTTGTTGGGACTGATGGGGGAGGATTCTGGATCCCCACACCCCACCATGTGCCAGGGGAAGGGATGCGTGTCAGAGGGAGGAGGCAGGGGTGGAGTGGCACCCACCTGCTCCGAGGGGTCACATCCAAGAAGAACTGCACGAGGGCCAGCAGGTTGTGGTGGTGATCTGACACCTTGCTCAGGGTGCGGCACAGCTGCTGGAGCTGTGGGGACGGCAGGCGGCAAGGGGGGCTGCGGGAGGGCCCGCCTTGACCCTGACCTCCCCATCAGCCCACTTAGGGGGAAAGCCAGAGAGTAAGAGGAGGGGGCGGTCACAGAGGCCGGGGACTGGCGGGCACGCTCCCTGGCATCCTGGTGACCTCCAAGCCTGCTATTCCCATTGAGTGCACTCAAGGTGCAACTTCAGTCCCAGCAACAAGGCCAAATGAGGAGGCTCAGGACCTTAAAGAGGAGGCTAGGGCTTGGGCTTGGGCTTGGGCCTGGGGGCTCATGATACCTTCCCGGGCCATTCGTGGATGTTCTCAAGGAGCAGGAGAAGAAGCTGCTGAAGATCGCTCTTGGGCAGCAGGCGGAGCCCCACGTCTAGGCCAGCTCGGCACAGCAGCTCGATCAGGTTCAAGAGCTCCCCGTCGGTGTAGGCCGCTGGCTGGGCTAGGGCACACAGTGCCAGGAACTGGAGAGCGGAGAGAGTGCTAGGGCAGGGAGAGCCTCCCTGGGGGGCCGGGCAGGACAGGAAGGGATGGCACCCGGAGCCCTGTGGCCGGGCTGGGCAGTAGCTGAGAAAAACAAGCGGCAAGGCCTAGAGTCAAGCCCTCCATGGGGTGCTCCGGTGGCAGGCCCGGTCGTGGGGACTGTGAGCTTTCCGCAGCATCAGTCCTGGCAGCCGGTGTGGTGCCTACAGTGGCGCTGAGCACACGGTGGGTGCTCAGTGGTACCTACCACGGGCAACTGCTCAGCAGGTCTGGATGGTGGGCAGAAGTGGGCGTCTGACTCACCTTATAGATGTAGCTCAGGCTACTGTCCAAGGCAGTCTCTGGGGGGCTGTCCTGCTGCTGACTCAAGCTCAGGCTGATGTCGTTTTTAAGCACTCTAAGGTAAGACAAAAGCAAAGGGAAGGAAATGAGAGGAGGTGGATGCAAGGGGAGAACTGAGGCAGGGAGGGGGGCCTGCCATTGCTCAAGAGCAGAGAGCCCGTGGATGGTCCATGCAGCCTGGGACACTCATACCCTACGTGTGTTGGTCATCTACTGCTGCGTAACAAATCCCCCCAACATACAGAGGCTTAAAAACGACAAATATTTATGATGTCATGCAGTTTCTGAGAGTCAAGAATCCAGGAGCTGCTTAGCTGGGTGGTCCCCAGGCTCAGGGTTTCTGGGGAGGTTGCCTCCAAAATATTGAGGGTGGGGCTGTTGTCACGTCAGGCTGGAATGGGCTGGAGGAACTGCTTCCAAGCTCACTCGTGTGCCCACCAGCAGGCCTCCAAGTCCTTACCCCATGGCCAGCTTCCCCCAAAGCGAGAGATTCGAGAGAGGGGAGAATGCCAGAGACTGAAGCCACAGCCTTTATAACCTGGTATTGGAAGTGACTTCATCCTGTCACTTCTGCTGGTGCACACAGACCGTCCAGACTCTGAGTGGGGGTGAGGGCCACACAAGAAGAACACCAGGAGATGGGGATCCCTGGGGGCTGGCTCCCAATGGCTGCCATTCCAGCCAGGCCTCAGGCTTTACTTTTCTGGGACTCGAAGACCAGAAAATCATACTCCATCATCCCAAAAGAGTCTTCCTCAAGACAGTTCTTTGTCTATACAGGTATGATGACTCTTTGCATGCATGGAAAAGTACACCACACGGTAGCTTACGTGGGGGCTAGTTTCCAAAGTCAGCAAGTAATATGGGGTAATTCAGAGTAAAAGTGATCTTTGAGAACCCCTCCAAAGGTCACACTAACACGCTGTCTACCAGTGAAGTTAGAGCTTAGGGTCACATGAAAAAAAAACCCAAAAAACAAAATACCTCTTTAAAGACTAGAGTCATACTCAGGGTGGCAAGATCCCTCCAGTGAGAGGGGCATCAGCGGACAGCAGAGCTGCACCACCCTTGCACAAACTTTCCAGGCGCATGCTCACTGGATAGAAAACAGAGCAGGATCAGTCTCACTAAGTCATTCTCTCTCTCCGGTCAAATGTACACTGTTGATTGTTAGATACTCTTGAGGTGAGCTTATGACAAGGCTCCCTGTGTGTCTCATCCACTTCTCCATGCTTATTAACTGGTTCGGAGTTCCCAAGAACAGTGGGCTCTCCACAAATGAAGGTATGGAGGACAGCAACACTGTTGACCACAGCATCTCCAGGGTAGCCACCTGACCGCTGACCAAGGGGGAGCCCTCCGTTCCTGCATGCTCCAGGGGGGAGTCTCTGCTCTTCTGTACTTGACACTGGTGCTGCTCTTCAGACAGGAAGAAGGAGAAATCCATCTCTAGGCACCGGAGAATTGGTGCCCACACACCGACGTCAGGGGAAGGGGCGGGGGTTAGGACTGGGCTCGGTCATTCTTCCAGAGCTCAGCATTTATTAGGGCCAAGGAATGGGTGAGGCTGCGTGTGCACATCTGGGCACCTGCTGGGCCCACGTCCGTACAGGAGGGCCGTTCTGGTCTGCTCCAGCCTGTGAGCAGGCATGGGGGCCAGAAGCACACGTGGGAATGTGTTCAGACTTCCCCAAGGGTGGGGGCAGGCACAGAACTGTGACTCCGCTGAAGAGGAATAGGCTTTCAGACAGTTCGGTGCTGCCAGAGGCGGAGTGTGGAAAACGTGAGCTGGGGAGGGAAGCGTGTCTGTGACAAGTGGAGAGGGCCAACAGCCTCCCCGTGCGAGCATCTCCCTGTGCCACCTCTCCTTGGGAAGGGCAGGCAATATGGTGGCGTCCTCTGTCCCCTGCCTTTCCGAGGCTCTGAGGAACCACTTGACTGGACCGTCTGCCTCTGTGACTGCTATTCTGGGACGTGGCATCTGCTGACACCCAGGCCTCCATCTCCATGCCCCGAGCAGGAGGCCACGGAACACAGGCATTCACAGCCCAGCAACTCCGCTCCACTCCTGGACTCAGCAGGTTAAGAACGAGGTGATGGTCCCACCACTGGACTCCATGAACAAAGTGTTTCATCTGTCCACCCCCTGCCCCTCAGCCCTGCCCCCCAGCTGGCTGGGTTAGGGTTCAGCCTGGGGCCCGCACCCAGGAGCTGGAGTTGGGTTACAACGACACTGTTCTATACTTACAAGTAATCTTAAGAGGGGCATGTCACTGACCCCTATCCCAGTTTCTAGATTTGTTTTCCCCAAGGGTTGAAAACAATACTAAAGTTACTGTCTGTACAGTGTGCTGACATTCTCGGCAGGAGGATGGTAAGAGACGCATATGAGCACGGAACCTCCATAACCGTGGGCCATCCTCAAGGCGCCCAGGGGTCAGGGCCCCACCACACAGGCTATGAGGGGGTGCTCTCCCCTAGGCCTGTACTGCCAAACCAGACTGGACCTGTCCAGGCTCTATGAGCCGAGGTCAATGAAGTAAAGGGAAATCGATGCTGAGCTAATGGGAAGGGAGAGAGAAGTACATTTTACCTGGGTCGGATTACATTGTCCTGAGATGGCCAGTGACCAGCCTCCCCCACATTGGACAGGATACTCTTTCAATGGATTAACTGTCATTTAGTTGCCCCTTTGGCCTCTGCACCAGGCTGCCCTTTCAGAGAACCAAGTGGATGAAGGTTTCCGGCACTAGGCTATGGCAGTTTGGCTGCCAGTCCTGTGTGTGTCTGACCGGGACTTTCCGCTGCGCCTTGTAACCTGGGAGCAGCCTTGGAAGACCGGCCGTTGGTGGCCAAGGACCTGCCCTGCCTTTGCAGGTGAGATTGGGGCCCGTGATGGAGAGTGTCTGCGTAGCCGTGTGGCACAAGCCCCCTCAAGCTCTCGCTTCTGCTTCCTGGTCAATGCTCACGCTCTGGTCCCTCTTCTGCCCATGTGCTCCCACACATCCTCCCGATTCCTCCCTCCCCAGCCTCGTCAATGGGCAGACGGCTACTGTGTTTGCAACAAGGTGGGCATCGCCTGGTCCAGCAGCAGAAGGGCTGCCTCTTGAAAGGAGATCTTGAAGCATTCGATGAGATGGTGATGGGTTTCAACGAAATCTGAGATTAAGAACAAATGGTGAAAGAAAGACCAGTCTTTCTCATAGACACTAAAAAGATAGTCCAGTTGTGGGGCCGTGTGCAGAGACATCTCAACCCCTCATTTCCAACCTTGGCCGATATGAGGGCTCTGTGGGTGCCCTGGAGGAGCCCCAGAGCATCTGTTCTGTCGAGGAGCCCTAGATCAGACATCCCCGGAAGTCAACAGAGCAGTGGGTGACATGGAGCCAGTTGGGATGGGATGAACTTGAGCTAGGTCAGGAACAGGACAAGGAAGACGGTGGGGAGAGGCAGCCTGCCCCGATGTTCCTCTTGTGGTCCATGGGTCTATGAAGGATGCCATACCCCCAGTGGAGGAGATGCCAGAACCTTCACAGTGCTTCCTGAATAGTCTAGAAGAACTCTCTTCCAACCCTATGACTCCCAGAGCCTCCCCAACTGCAGCAGCCAGCCAGCAACTCAGGTAACCCACCCAAACATCTCTGCTACCCCACATCTCGGGGAGGTCACTGGAGGGGTCTCCAGGTTGTGTCTGCTTTTCCAAAAAGAGGCTGTGTTCAGGCAGAAAAAACCTCCACAGGCTAAGTGGCTGGGCAGGTGGCCCCAGCCTGTCCTTAGAGGGCCACAATAAGAAAATCAGCCCTGAAGCCATCAGCCAGCTCCTCCGGGCCAGTTCTGAGTCCTCCGTGGGGAAACGGTGCCAGCAGTGTGAGGCCCAAGGGAAGAGGCAGGGTGTCCAAGCAGCACGTCTGGTGACGTGACTACGCAGCTCTGACAACACTCTGCGACCGCATGGATTGGCCTTCCTCTTACACAGGACCAACTGCCTGGTCAGGCTGGAAGTCTGCAAGTCTGCATGCTGGGCTTGGTGTTCTCAAGTAGTCGAGGTGGCAGATTTACACAGCCATAGTTCTAATGCCCACCTGCCCACCCCCCGCCCCATGCCTCCAGAGAGGATGGATTTGTCCTGACGCACAGGGAACAGGAAGCCATCGAATCTTGGGGGAAGGGAGAAGGGCGGGGGAGAAAGTGGCGCTTTGCAGTGCACGGAATAAATGAGGTGGTTATACGCCCCTGCCTGCGGTGGCACCTCTCACTTTCCAGGTGGACACCCAGAGCTCATCAGAACAGTTAGAAATAGCTCTTCTGGACCCCACAGGCCCCCAACGCCCCCTCCCACTGGCATTTGTTTTTCTAAGTGTAAGTCTTCCCCCAACTCATTCTAGAAGGCGGTGTGATTGAAGCTCTGTGTTGGGGACGAGGCAACTGGCTTGCGACACCAGATGTGGAGCTCTGCAGGAAGGGAGGGGGCAGGAGCGAGGCAGGCTAGCACATGCGTGGGGTATTTATAGCAGAGTGAGTGTGGTCTGGTCTGGTTTGGTTTGGCAGACAATTACTAAACACAGTCGTGGAACAGGTTCTTAAGAAAGCTTTGGCCTTCCTTGTGTAGGAACACCCGCCTGCCCACCACAGCAAGGGAAAGGGTCCCTGCACCTGCTGGGGCCAAAAGATTGTCACTGACGGGGCCGGGGTGGGGGGGGGGAGTCAGGCTCCCACATAACGGCCTGTCCAGGGCTCTAAACACCCCGTTACATCGTCTCAAAGAATTGTCAGGAAAGAGCTTGAACATAATATAATTTGCAGAATAAGTTTATAATATGTAACACTTTTACAACCCAGACCTAATCATTGTCCACCCAACAACAGTCATTTATGTATTGTATGGCTCTGTTCCTAGAGGGCAGGGACAATGGCTATGCAAATTAGTACCCCCCCAACCCAGCCCAGTGCACAAAGGGGACACCCACAAAACAAAACTGGCCACTGTGGAAATTACATGCAAAATTGTGCCTTGCTGGCCTTGAGTTGATACTAGGGAACGGGCCAAAATTGAGGCTTGGAGGTAGACCAGAGAGACTGGGACATGTCCTGGAAGAGGAGGAGCAGTGAGGGCTCTGAGTCACTGAGGGGCAGGAACAGATGTCAGCCAAAGCAGCCACACTCAGCCGTGCCTGGCTCTTCCGTCCCCCTGAAGCTGGGAGCACAGTCATTTACCAGAACCTTTGCCATTCGTGGTGTGATGCCCATAATCCACGGGTACTTGTGTGTGGTTGTTCTAGAATCCTTCAGACTCTGCTTCCCCATGGAGGCTAGAGGCCGAGTTTGGGAAATTTTTTTTTTACTTCCCCCCCAAATGCACATAATTCCATATAATAATCAGAGAAAGTCTTTCCTTTTTCTAACTTACAAATGCTTATGGAGCTGAGGATGTGGACCACAAACAATAATGGATAGTTTTGTACAATAAATGGCCCGTTACGTTGTATTACCTTTACAGAATAGGAAATACTTGATTTTTTCCTTCCCTTCCATTCTCCCTAGAATAGGAAACACTTTAATATTTCTTAGCATGAATATACGTTGAGAAGAATGCATCTCTCTTCTTTAGGTAGTATTTTGTCTTTTTTTTTTTTTTTTTTAACATTTTGATGGAGGTATAACCAATATGGAAAAACCTGCACATATCTAACTGTATACAAGTCGACGGGCTTGAGGTGAGATCCACAGTGTCGAACGAATGAGACAGGACAGCGAGGAAGGGGAAGGACTCACCTCTCACTGGGCTGACAGGGCCCCTCCCGGCCCAGAGCAGGGCTGTGGGCTCCCAGGCTGTGAAATGTTTCCATGACCTCTTGCAGCGAGGGGCACCACCAGCGCTTGTCTCCATCTGTCAGGCCAAGGGAGGGCAGAGGGTCAGGGAGGGCAGAGGGGGACAGGCGCACTACTCCCACGGGACGGCTGGACGTGACAGCCCCTGGCCCAAGGGGACCCGTTTCTGCCTTCTCTAGCACCTCAGGTATTTTCTGGAGAAATCGACCAACCAGCGGTTTTGAGACATCCGCTGGAGCTTTGGGAACCCGGTTCTTCATTCTCGTCTTCAAGCTCTGGCCACCTTGAAGTGCGAGGGCCCAGGGGTGATGGCGCCCTGACTGGCTCCATCAGACAGCTGTCGGGGTGCTGAGCTGCCCAGAGCCGAGCCAGATGAAGAGACCTAAACCAGAGGCCTCAGAACTGCGAGACGTGGAAGACACAAGTCTCAGCAGCCCCGGGCCCTTGCTGAGGGCAGCCCTGAGCCTCCTGCTGACTCGGCACTGCCCTTGCAGCAACAGCTGGGCGGTCCCAGGTCCACCATATCCCAGCCCAGGGCACTCCCTGCAGCCTGGGACACGTCTCCACAGCCAGCTTGAGCTCAAAGTACCATTGTCTCTTGACTAGTGTGACAAACCATGAACAGTAATCTGACCTCACCAATGATGAGGGAAAACCTTATGTACTCGGGGCTTTTCCTAAGGACATTTTTCAGAACCAGGAAACTAGAAAAACAAAAACCAATGTGCAGGATCCTATTTCCCAAAGATGGCTGCAATCCAGTCTGCCTCCCACACACTCTGCATTGTGACCTCTCTGCACCCCACCAAGAGGCGGAGTCCACGTCTCCACATGGTCCTTCCTCTACAGCATCTTATTGATTGATTTACTGGCTTCTTGTCTCGGTCTCCCCATTAGAATGTAAATTCCATGAGGGCAGGGCCCGCTCTGCACACCCAGGGCCTGGAGGAAAGGCTGGTGTGGGGGTGGGGGAAGCCCAATGAATGAATAAATGGAGAGAATCCTAAACAAACCTGACTGAGTAGTACTGGAACAAGAGGGAAACTGAAGACCAGCCATAAGATAAGCTGGCAATGTCAGGAATGTGGACAGACATTGACTTTGACAGATGTGTCCGAATCATGAACTCGAAACAGGGCTAGAAGCACATTAGCAGCACGTGCTCAACGCTTGCCGTTCTGCCAGTGAGAGTTCCCTCTGAAAGGTCCATCTCAGTGGATCCCCCCACGTGCTGGAACCATGCCAGGTGCCCAAGATAAAAAGGTGGCTGGGGGGGGTGGCCCTGACCTCAGGGAGCTCACAGTCTAGGAGGGAGGGGAGTCAGGCAGATAAATACAGGAGAGTATATTCAAAAAGCAAAGCAGGTGAAAGGTGCAGAGCCTGCTCAGAGGAGGGGAAGTTCACGGGGCGGGGGGGGGGGGCATGGCACAGGTAACGGGAAAGGTAGCACGCACCCAGCAAAGGGACACAAGTGACCAAGGCAGAGGAGCATGAAAGAGCACGGAATGGCCAGTGACTCAAGGCAAGAAACACAGCATCCTCAACTCTTTGAGAAGTTTTGGCAACAGTCTGGTATGGTTGCAGAGCCAGTCACCGGCGGAATGGCCAGCAGAGGGTCTCTGAATCCCGTCCAAGGACATCTCTTCTGCTGGCATCAGGTGTCTCTCTCTTTAGAAATGTATATGAGTCGGGGCTCACCCAACAAGTAATTAGACTCTTGGAGGAGGAAAAACTTTGTTTTTTTTCCTCTCGGGCAATTTAACAAGTAAGAGTAATGATACCCCTTGCCTGCTTCACAAACGAGCGGGGAAGAATGAAGTCTGCAAAACACAATGAGATTCCACTATAGAGAGCAAGCTGTTTACCGGGGCCCTTGGGGGACTGCGCACGTAAGCACACGCATGTGTGGGCGGGCCGACGAACTTTCCAGGAGGGAGGATGCGTGTGCAAAGAGAATCGGCCTAGGGTGAGGCTCTGGAGGACCAGCTTGGGGGGGCGGGACGGGGTGGACAGCCTGCCTGCAGTGTAGGACCTCAAAGGGTGCTGTGCCTGTCCACCCTCACATCACCCCCTCAGCCCATGCAGGTGCATCAGTTGCTTTAAAACCCCTTGGGAACAGCAGCTGCAGGTGCCGCTAGTTTCCAAACCTGGAGCCCAGCACTGTCCCCCTTCGCCAACCCGCCCTGTCGTGACTCCACACCACAGCTTGACCAGGCTGATGGGTCAGGAGAGGTTCCAGAGCAAGGGGCCTGGGCTGCCTCAGGATAAATCGGGCCCAATCAACAGTGTGGGAAAGTGGTTAAGTGACGACAGGTGCCCGAGAGCCCGTAATTAACACCACCTAGAACTAGGCCACGCGCTCAGCTTTTCCCGAGCGCTGTGTCCCGAATGGGGGTTTTCCGGAGAGCTGACACAGAACAAAACTCAGACGCAAGGCTGCCAGCTCCAACACCCTCACTCTGTTTCTCCACAGCCACACCGCACTCATTGGAGGCGACCGATGGCCCCGGGTGCATCGGGCCCCTTGCCTTTCTAAACGCCAGTGCTAATAGCCCTGAGCTCCTGGGCTCTGTTTAGAGGTTGAGTCTGGAAGCGTCCCTCTGGGTGGTTCTCCTGGGATGGAACTGATGCTTTGGGGGAAGGCAGGGGAGGAAAAGCACTGGGCCTAAAATAAAAGTGACTTTTCCATCTGTGCCTCAGAAGAAGCGTTACTTCACGTACCACCACCGCCTCCACGCTCCTGGCACCACTGTCAGGGAATGGGAAAACCGCACACGTCCCAAAACCTCCTCGGCTCGACGTGCCAGTCCCAGCGGCTACCCCCCGCAGGCCTGTGTCATCCCTTCCCACCCACCAGGTCCCATCCTGGGCCTTAGCGCTTAGACAGGGCACAGGGTCCGCAGGACTCTGGTCTCTTTCTCCCCCTCCCAGACCCCCAAGTTGAATTGCTAAAGAGTATTCTGGGGTGGCTGCCTTGGGAGGACCAAACATCTGCCTGGGTCCTGATTCTTGACGCCATCTTAGAGACCCCACGATTCTCCAGGAGGGTGTTCCCAATCATCCTTAATGGGGGGGTGCTGGGTTCCTAAAGAAAAGTAAGCAACCACCCCATCAGACTGAGCCCAGATCCCAATTGGAGCGTGGGACTCAAGACATTTAGGAGAGGCTTACAATCTGTTGAACACAATCTAACCGAGTAAATACAAGGATCTAATTAGCTTTATTAAGCAATTCATCCATCAGGCAGCACCCCACCTAGAAGGCAAAGGGGAGCTCCAAGGAGTTGTACAAAATGGAAGGTTTTTATAGGAAGGAGGGTGGGGCAAGAAAGTTATTATCGAAAGAAAAGAAAGGATTGTTCTATGCAAGGTCACCTTTCCTTAGGGGGAAGGGCAGGGGGTCTTATTATACAGATAGATTACCTCATTGATGCCTATCAGAAAATTCCTGACAGACTTAACACTTCTGGAGGGAGGTTGAAACTGCAGTTAAGTATTAAGCCCTGGTTTGTTTGTTTGTTTATTTATTTATTTATTTATATTTTTAAAGATTTTATTTATTTGAGAGAGCGAGAATGAGAGAGAGAGAGAGAGCACATGAGAGGGGGGAGGGTCAGAGGGAGAAGCAGACTCCCTGCCGAGCAGGGAGCCCGATGTGGGACTCGATCCTGGGACTCCAGGATCATGACCTGAGCCGAAGGCAGTCGCTTAACCAACTGAGCCACCCAGGCGCCCTAAGCCCTGGTTTAGTGACCTGGCCTAAGTGACGCCATTTTGGGCCTGTGGTTTTCTTTTCAACAAATCTTACATTTTTATTTTTTTATTTTTTATTTTTTTTAAAGATTGTATTTATTTGACAGAGAGAGAGACAGCCAGAGAGGGAACACAAGCAGGGGGAGTGGGAGCAGGAGAAGCAGACTTCCCGCGGAGTAGGGAGCCTGATGCAGGGCTCTGTCCCAGGACCCTGGGATCATGACCTGAGCCGAAGGCAGACACCACCCAGGCGCCCCAAATCTTACATTAAAAAAAAAAAAAAAAGATTTATTTATTTATTTGAGAGAGAGAACAAGAGTGAGTGCACATGCCGGGGTGGGGGGAGGGAAGGGCAGGGAGAGACTATCCAAGCAGACTCCCCCCTGAGCGTGAAACAAGAGTCAGACACTTAACCCACGGAGCCCCACCGCAGGTGCCCCGCTTACCATTTCTTATCCTCCCAATTGTCATTACTCAACTTCCCTCTGCACTTCTGTATTTAAATTTACACTTGTCTCAGTATCACTGGCTTTAGTCAATCAGCTTCAGCCCGTCATTTAAACTTTTCATTCGCTCAATAAACAGTAACTGAACACCAGGCATTGTTCTAAACGCTGGGGGCCCAGCAGCGAACAAAAGAGACAAAATCCTGGTCTCATGGAGCTGATGGTTTAGCAGGGAAGCTGACAAAACATATGAAAAAAAACAGTTTACACCGAATGAAGCCAGGTGGCATAAACGGCCCAGAAGAAAGGCGGTTGGTCGGGGTGCTGCGGGGGGTAGCTAGACGCAGAAGGAGGAGCCCTGGGTACACCCTGAGGCCAGGCTGCCATTCCTTGTCTTTTAGGCCCAGCCAGGAGCCAGGCTGCTAGAGGGGTGTGAGGATAAGGGCAGAAAGAGCGAGGGGAGCCCACCTGAGACGGGGAACTGAAAGGACCCCACGGGAAACTGCTTTTTGCTCCTCTCCCTGCTCCTGTTCTTGCTGGGAACTGCAGCCCCACCTTGCACACGCCTTAGAGTACAAATAACGTACGTCCTAACTGTAAAGGTCAAGGAGTGCGTGATTTCTTTGGAGTTTTCCGGCACAGTCAGTGACATCCAAGGAGGGACTGGGTGGGGTCCTCGGGTACCTATTCCAGGACCCCTGACCTTAAGACATCTTGACACCAAGACCCCCTGGCTCCTGGGCATAAGTGACTTGTGGAGGATCCCTGGACCCTTGTCCTTGTTCTGACCAGTTAGGACATGCGCACCATCCTCAACGAAAAGCCCAGACCCCAAGCAAAGGAGAGACTCGCTCTCCTCT